AAAAATTACAACAGCAATAATAATGGAGTCAGTAGTATCAACAATAGGGATGCATCCATTTAATCGCAAGGAGTCAATGAATGAAAGGCATATCAAGAACTGGGTTTCTTTAAAATCTGGGTAGGTTAATCATATAAATGGAAATGTAAGGGGATTCAGCTCTTGGAACGGAGGACTGGTTTAAAGGTCTTTCTAGAAATGTTGGTTGGTGTCAGCTGATGATTAAGAGGCTCCTAATTAAATGAAACAATCAGCTCTGGAAAAATAGCTGCCTCTAGCAATAAATTGGTCAGGAAGTTGCAGTCAGCTCCAGAACGGCAAACTACATCTGAATGGATGATAAAGACTAATAGTACCATTCCATATTGTGGAAAGGGTTATGAATGCCCCTTGAAAGTTCTTTGTGGAATGAGAGCATTTTCTTTCTGGTGCTCTAACTGCAGGATAATATTTCATTGGTCCATTTGGTTCATTCTTTTCCCACTTGTGATTCAAGTTGTCTCTTTCCAGAAGTGTCTGGGCATCATGAGAAATCTTGGACAGTGCAACTTTTCCCTATGCAAGGAGCAGCTGATTTCTAAGGATTATGCCTTTTGCCTGAGGAGAAAGCCAAACATGTTATCATTATCTCAGAAGTGTAAGTCTTTTGCAGGGCCCTCTACTATGAAGCAGCTCAGTTTTCTTCAATTTGGAGCACTCCAACCTAATATAATTACTTCAACTGCTATAACTGATTATTTGGTCTTCGGGTTAATTTCTACTAGCATTTTTCTATGATAAGCTGCCTGAGAAAGCCAAGGGAAATCATCAAAATCATAAAAAAGTGAAATAAGAATATTTTGGACATGTGATGCAACATCCGGAAAAATATGGCATACTTCATTGAATCCTCCAAGGAAATATTGAAGGCAAACGAGGTCCAGGCAGAAGAAGGAATCATGGCTTTAAAATCTAAGGGGCTGGTTTGGACAAAACTCAGCAGCACTTTTTCATGTGACTATTGATAAAAATAAGATCGCCAACATGATCGCCAACATTCGATGATGGATATGGCACAAGAAGCAGCAGCATTTTTCTAGTTGCAGTGTTCCAGCTATTATACCAAATCACATAATTCTCAGACAGCATAATAATGACCGTAATTATGTAAAGCAAAACAGGGACATTACCGTTTAATGAAACTAAAGAATGAATCCTAAATATATTAGGATGAGATTAAAACTCTAGTTCAGGTCAGCAGAATTTGACTTCTGTTGGCTATAGGGTTGTACTGATTGAAAGGGCCAAGAGATAGTCATGTAGAAAAACAGAATTAGGGAAGCCAATTCTTGTTTTTATAATTGTGTGATTATAGACCTGTGACCATATAGAATAGCTCATTCTACACCAATGAATTACAAGTACAGGACTATGTGTGTGACTTGGGTTTGCCTCAAATCATTCTCTTCCAAAAGTCTGTAGAGATTCTCAGTCATCCAGATCATGGTTGAAAGTCCAGTTGCCTCCTGAAAAAGCACCTTTGGGACATTCTCTTCCAAGTTTTTTTACTGTATGCTGTAGGCAAAACCTACATGAAATGTGTGGGCTTCAACTAGCTATTGTTGGGCAGCTCTGTGACTCTTCCTCAATTTAAAGAGCAGTTAGCAGTTAGATGTGACCACTCCTGGAAACAATGATTGGAAACTAAGCTGAATCGGCCTGGTCACTACTTGGTTGAGAGTCCATCAGAACATCCCAGAGATAGATAAAGTAGTGAAAACAACTTCTTAGAAGCCAATGGCAAGCTACTTATTGTTAGACCCTCAAAAAAAACAAAAACCCACCACCCCTAGATTCTGATCCATGAAACATCCTGGTATTGATTCAAGGGAATTTTTTATCTTTCACCCTACTTAGACTAAGAATTTGGTTGAAAGAGGAAATGCAAATGAATATTAAAAAAGAAACAAACTTTGGCACCAAAGTCTTCCTTTGACTGTCCCTCTGCAATGTCAATTGAGAATAAAATTTCAAGCATCTAATGAAATGGACTCTGTTTGACAAAATCTTATGCTGTGATAAAACTTAATTTTTAATAGACAGCAATAGTTACCGCTAAGTGTGTTACAACAGACTAAATGACTATTCATTGTCATCATTCAGCATTTATTTATGTGAACTGCAGCAGTGCACACATGCAACACAATTGAGTTAATTTGATTTTTGTATTATTCTCTGGATATATTCCAACTTTTAATAAACCTTCCAAAATCAAATATGATCATTTTTGAGCCAAAATAACACTAAAATACAGAAGTTTCATTTTTTTTAATTGACAAAGTATGCGTGACCCTTGGTCATTCATCTTGGGGCAGAAACTGTAGATAGATGGGGTCATTATGAGCACACATTAATCGTGGGTATCCAGTTTCATTGCTATCATGCTTTTAATTAACTCTGCAGTTGGAAACTAAATGTGCTAATGGGCTAATGGTCATTATAACCGCTGAGCTGATTATATAGTAACTTTATATTTTAAGTGTGGGAATGATAAAACAAAACATTACTATGGATTAGTTTTTTAAATGGCTTAAGCTGCAGGGACCACACTATTATAGGTCAACCTTCTCCAATCTGCTGCTTTCAGAATGTGTTAGGACTGCAATTTCCAGGTTTCCATCTTAGAATTTACTCCACACCAAAGAGGTACAAAACTTCAGCATTAAAACCTTTTATCGTTATAAACAAAATTGTAACTATTCTCCAATATGAAAGGGGGGGGGGGTTTGCACTGCTGAACCCAAGCCTACCTAAGCTTATATTCATTGTTGTCATCAGAGACATAGTAGATAATAAGAGCTGACAAGAGAATTCATGAATGTGGTAGAAGAAAACTTTCAAGAGTTAGACAGAAGTTATTATTGTTGGCCACACAGTCAGCCAGATGTTTAAACTGGATTGACTCCTTCTGAAGGACCTGGGCTAGGGAGAAGTTTGGTGGTGTTAAAGGTATCCTTGCAGGTGTTTCTTTAAACCTGTCTTTTGTAGTTGCCTGACGGGTATTTTATTTTGCCAATGCTGATTTGTTTAGGTGCTGCTCCAGATGTTGTTGTGGGTAATTCACATTTTCATACTGTAAAATTGATGGAAATATAATAATTGTAGTATGAACCTTATTAATAATAATTATTAAAGTATTGCTTTAGAATATAGGCAGTTCCCAGCAGGGTGGGGCTTTTTGTTTGTTTGTTTTTTGTAAAATTAGGTTTTCAAGTCTGATAAATTCAACATTTCTAGATATTGAAGGATCCCTTTAGGTATTGCTCCACAGGCTCCAATCCAGATTGGTTTAACAATGGATTTTTTCCCCCATAAATGTTCAACTTCTATCTGGAACCCAGTATTTTGTAATTTTTTCCCAATTGTTTTTCCTCGATCCTAGCATCATTCAGAATAGCAACACCAATGAAGCAGACTTTCTTCAAGAACTCTTATATCAGACATGCTACGAACAAGATGCCTGTTTGGATCTCAAAATTCCAGACAATCTTAACCCACTCATTTTTCCAAAACCTTCTCAAGTTGATGGTCCCAGTAATTTTTTGCTACATTCAAATGCAAAGCTCAGGCAAAGTTTTCAGTGAATAATTTTGGCAACTCAGTCATGACACTGTTTGTAGCTAGGTGGTTGTTGTTATTTTATTCCACTCTTTACATTTAAATAGTGTAATGACATTCCACATTCAGTTTTGACTTGCCCATGTAATTGTAGGTGTGGCAGTCACAAAGATTTCTCTGTATGATAGGCTTCAATGAGTTAAAGCTGCAAGAAAGAGTAGAGTTGATTTATGAGTGAGCATATAACCAGGACCGTCAAACTCCGAGCCCACACTGGTCACGGCCACGCCCAGTTTAGCGGGGGGGGGGGAGTCACGATATGTCACATGACACTGCTATGTGAGTTTGACACCCCTGACAGATACCAATCTAATGGACCTGAGTAGGACTGATCCACCCAATCATTAGAAGTTGCTATATTGCACCTGCTAGCATTCAAAGTGCAATAAACTCCAATGTATTTCAAGTGATAGCATGTGGGAATTAAAAGCAGGGAATCATGCCAATTCACTAGCTCATCTATTCATGCTCACACACACACACACACCCATGGCAGCACATTTATTTATTTTGGCCCGTGTGATGTCTTTCAGGGACATTTACACTATACCCAAATTCTCAGCCAGCGTGGAAATCTGAGAATTGTAATCGTAACACGGGCTAAAGACAGCAGATTGAAGGGGGAGGAAAAGGGGGAGAAAGGGGGTGAGTGGGAATGGTTACAAGGTAGGGAGAAAAAAAGAATCCTGTCTGGTTCACACAACACACTTAACTGGGTCACCTGAATGTATGCTATTCTAAGCATGGTTTGTTCATGTATTCTGTGGCTGTGCTTGCTTCTGAACTGACTAGAGAAATCCCCCCTTTCTGTACACCGAAAATACCCAGAAGCCATGAAAGCATTATTAAAGTGGTAGTTAGCATGACAGCAAGACTGGCCTCTGGGGGTTCAAGTAGCATTAGATCTTTAACATGAAATATCATCTCAGTGTTCTTCTACAGCTTGTTCCAAAATAAACCAGCATGGAACAGATAGAAACTTCGGCTTGCTATAAGGCTTTTTAGAATAGCACAGTAACATCTTCACTGCATTGTAACCATAAAGGAAGTCTGCTTTCAAATATAATGGTGTTCCACTTTTAAAAACTAAGGCATTTTAATGGGAATTTAATTTTAAGTAAAATGGATTTTAATGGAAGAAGCAGGAATGTGACTTTTTTTTTTTAAATGCAATTCATTCTTGTAAACTTTGTTGTTCGTCTTCTTGGGAACAATCATGAGACAGACATGCAAATTGGGTTGTACATTATCAAAATGTTACTTATGTTGCAATATGACAAGACTTAAAATACCTATTGACATTAATTTTTTTTGAAAAGGAATCAATATCATTTATACTATTGAAGTAAGCATCTTATTTCTTTCCCACCGGTTCAGCTATCCAACACAATGCCTTTCTTGAGGTACTGCAAACATCATTCCAATTTTACAAAGCTGCATCTAGAATGGGGATGATGGTGTTTCTTGTCCACACCAAGGAAGATGCTGTACTGGAGTGATCTGCTCAGAGCAGTCATAAAAAGAGCTTTCAACGCAAATAGAAGGAACAGCTGTTCCTTATTGTCTCTTCCCTGATTCAATAAAGTTGCTTCGCAAACTAGAACAGTTAATCTCTTTTAATGCAAGTGTGAGGTAGACTATTCATAGTATTGAAGTCAATATATGCTTCACTGAGTATAGAACAGGTGTTGATTGTGTTGATCATCTCAAGCCTTAGAATGCATTGAGAAAAAATCCCAGGAAACCCACACATTCTGATGGGAGAGAAGTTCTCTGAGGATGGATTTCAGAATGAGTCCAAAAGCTCAAAAGAATTTATTTTTTCAACCTTTATGTTAAATAGGGAAGCTGGATTGGATGGGGATGATCGCTTTTAAAATCAGAAATTGCAATGACCTCCCCTGTGCTGATGGCGCTATTCTTGACAGCTGAAAGTGCATATGACTTGCAAATTTTAGTAATTAAAGTTAAGGCAACTAGTGAAAACATGGAACTAAGATTAAATGTACTATATTAATGATCACAGCTACAGCAACCAACCTTAGAATTGACAATGAAGACATTAAAGTATGGGTAGCTTCCTCCTTTAGGAACAACTACCAACAATAAAAGAACTAGCAGTCAAAAAATATTACAAAATAGGATAGAAAGAGTATTGATAATTTTAACTTTTGATATTGAAGAAGACTTCTAAGACCACGGATAGCCAAGAAAACAAGTAAGCGGGTTATTCAAAGAAATCAACCCAGGGTTCTCACTCAAGACTCAATAATCATACCTTGAACCTTATGCAAAACCTAGCTCTTTTTAGAAGTCTATAATAATGAGAATGGTGGGAAATGGAAAAACAGGTCAACCAACAGCAAGGTGGATGGGCGGCAGTGATGGTGCAACTTTGGAAGACCTGAGGGACCAAGTTTGAGTCAGATCATCATGGAGAAAGTCTTATTTATGTAGGCTTTTAAGAGTTGATTTTGACTTGATTGGCACAATCAATCACTAGTATATTGCTTATATTGTTACAGTTCTATATTTCCTGTATAGATCTCTCTGAACTAGACTTTAACTTTATAAATAGTTGGAATTATCTATAACATATCAAAAATCCTTTGGTTTTCTTCTTGTAAATTCTCTTCTATGTTCCTTTGAGGAGGGAGGCATCAATTGATTTAAATTTTCAGCATTTGTTTAAACTGGATTTGGCATTTTTATCCACCTATCGAGTCCTTCCCAGGGGCCTACAGTATGTTGTTATTATTATATTGCATTATTTCATTTGACAGATGAAAACAAAATACAGCAAGGTGTCCTATGGATCAAAGGATTTAATTGGCATAATTAATTAAATGGAATTGCATTTGACAAAAGATGGGAAAAAATCACATGGATTAAACTTTCTGACTCTTCTGAAGGAATAGAAATGCAGACCTCATGCCACGTAGAGGGATTCTTTTGCTGCTTACAGAACTACTCCTTCTCTTATTACTGGTACATATTTAGCTTGAACAGATGTACAGAATATTTAAGTGACCCAATCCCTCTTTAGAGATCATACAAGCTGAGAAAATCACTTTCTCTGCTTCGTTTTATGGGGATATTTTTAAAAATCATTTTTACTAAGCCAATTACACTGTGCTCTTATTTCCATGATTTGTACCAACCTAATGGGTTTGGGTTTGAGTGAATACATGAAACTTTTAAAATATCTGATGTGCCTTCTGGTATTTTATGCTAAGCAGAATTATCAGGCACAAAGTTGATGCTGCTTGATCTGAGCAGAACAATTCTAAACGATGTTTCTAATGGCACTAATATAGAACAAAGTTTGGTTTTACCCTAGTCAGCTTTGAAGAGCAAAACACAGCAGTGAGTTGGCCAAAAGTGACAGAATAAATGGCTGATAGAACAGGCAAGATGGGAAACATAAGTTCCAAAGATATACAGACCACCATATAAAGCCACCTAGAATTTAATGAGTAGGTAAATAAATATTATAGTTTTCCTAAATGTGGCTTTAGAGGATTGTGAAGTATTTGTCCTTTCAGCTTTTCTGAATGTTTGTGTAACTTTATCACTGAATTTTATCAGAGCTTCATCTGAGTTTTATTGATACCGTGAGTACAAGTAATCTTTGATTTACAACAATTTGTTCATTGACCGTTTGAAGTTTCAATGCCACTGGGAAAAATTATTTACAACCAGACCTCACACACTTACAACCACTGCAGGATCCCCACAGTCATGTGATCAGAATTCCACTGCCTGGCAACTGGCATGCAATTACGACGGTTGTAGCATTCCAGGGTGATCACCTTCGCAGCCATCTTTCGACAAGCAAAGTCAATGGGGGAAGAAGAACCTGGATTTGCTTAATTTGTGTAATTGCGGTGAGTTGTTTAACAACTGTGGCAAAAAAGGTTGTAGCATCGGGTATGACTCACTGAACAATTGCTTTGCTTAGCAACACAAATTCTGGTTTCAATTGTGGTTGTAAGTCGAGGACTACCTATCCTATGATTAAATGCTTATGAAGTAGGACCCTGGCAACTCAACCTGGCATTTGCCAGCAGATCCCAAGCTATTTTCTAACTTTGGCCTAAATGGAGCAACATGTTGAAGGAAAACCCACCTTTGTATACTAAGAGTGTTTACTAATGGACAAGCTATTATTAATTCAGAAGAATTAAAATTTTATTGTGGGGGTGGGGAGTCAAATCTCCTGGATAAGACATTACAAGATATGACATAGGCCTCTGTCCTGGATCAAAGTTTGCTGAATTTTGGAAAGCCCCCGTCTCCCAATGCTCCTGATAAACACTTCCTTCTTATTGCACTGTAAGATACATCTGTCCATGACATGGTGATGGATGGGTGTGTGCACTTGGTGTGCATTACTGAGACCTGGCAATGGGGCATATAACTCTGTTGGAAAGCTGCTTGGCTTGGTTTCAGGTCCTACAACATTACAACATCAAGGTCAGGGAAGAGAAGTCCCTGTGATTGTGTGACAAGGAATACTGCTCCAACTAGTTGCCTAGCAGTGGCCCACCCCCAACCCAAATTCAGGTTTGGAGTTCCTGAGGGTTTAGCTAATCACGAGTATATCAAACTAGGATATATGGGTGCTATAAACCTTTGCAGTAGCAGAGTACCAGTTAGAATAATCTGCCCCAGAAATCTAATGGATTCAGGTTTCCAAAGGGTGTTTGAGCATTTCCTTGACAATTTGGCAAGGAGTTCTAGCCTCTGCCTAGTTAATCTTTGAAATTTGGAGGTGACCTAAGATTGTACCAGTAAGGTCTCCACCCAGGCACCAACCCCAAAGGTTTACTGAAGAGTTAAGGGAGATGAAGTGACTGAAAAGGCCCCCAGTTGTTAATAGAGGAAAACCAAAAATAGATATGGCTAAATGCTGGTAAGAGACGTACGGCGGTGAAAAAAGAATTCAGAGCAGTAGTGATGCAGCAATTCTTCTTAGCATTTACACATTATCGACAGATTACTTCCTGTAGACTCTGTTCTGTATTATCTAGTCCCTTTAAAAATTTTGGATGAAGTAAATCATGTGCAGAAATGGCAAATGAAATTGCAGCCTTATTCACAGGTAGTTGTTCATATTCATTCTGATTTGGATAATATTTGGGCATAATCTATGGTGCAAACAACATAATATTGTGATATAATCTGGAATTCTTTAGACCTTGAGGAATCTAAGTAAATAATTACTCGATAATAGCATTACAAGAATGTGGAGTAGCTGCTCTATTAGCATTTTTATATACTAGTTGTACATTCAAGAATAAATGTGTAATAAAATGATTAAATTAAGAGACCCAATTTAAATCAATTACGAAAATATGCTTGGAACAAGCCCTTAATGCTATATGATCTTTATTTGCTCTTAACAAAATACACAAAATTCACTTATCATCATTATTGTACAAGTATAAATAATGCTCAGTATTCAAGTACAATCAAGTGCTGAAATTCCTACACTTCATGTAAACACAAACTAGGCTTTCTATTTCACATGCTATCTTCAGCACATCTGCTGTGCCCAGAGCCTCCCAACAGGAGGCATCATATTTTAGCCTGCTCTCTTTGACTGCATTCTTTCAAGGAAAAATATGAAGAGTGGCAAAGTTTTAAGTTTCAATGACACAAATGTACTGCTTTTGGTACAGTAATTATCCAGCACCCTTTCTCCTGTAAACATCTGGATATTTAAATTGATTTAGTTCAGCTTAATAGATAAATATTTTCAGGAAAAAAAGTCCTTAATTTATTAAAGCAAAACTTACACATTTTTTTAGTCATTTACAGCACTCTTTGCTCAAAGACCAAATAATACTATAGTTCACTTTATGGAAAATACCCATTTAAGCTTGTTTACATTTTTTTGTAAGTACGCAAAAAGAAAAAAAAATACAAATCAGTATTTGAGTTAGACTTCAACTAACTAGCCCAGACCAAAATGCTTTAATTCACCCACTCGCCTCTCAAATGTATCATTGCATTACAATCTGCAGAGTTTTTAACATTCATTGGAGTGGCAGTCTAAGCTCAGAATCAGTCCTTGAAAAAGTAACATCTAAAACAAAAATACACATAGTTAAAACAATGAGGCACTTATTCTCCCTCAGAAGTTTCTTCTCTTTGGTCACCTGGAGGAGGGAGGGAGGTGGAAGGCGTTGTTTCCATTGTTTCTGTTTCCATTGTTTCTGTTTCCTTTGCTGGTTGCTCTCCCTGCGCAGATTCAACCATGTCATCACCTTGTTTGACTGTTAAAGCCTGGTTATTTTCCTGGTCTGTCTCTGTCAATGGGGGAGCTTCCTCTGAAGGTCCTATGAGACACACATTTTAATTATACAAATTGTATTTATTTATATATTCATTGCAAATGCCTCTCTATGCCACTTTAATCATACAACTCCAAGCAGTTTACAGCATAATGTGCAATACCTATAATACACTACAAGTCCTGCTGTACAGCCATTCATTCAGCAATCATTCAAAGTTATAGCAGTACTGAAAAAATGGCACTTATCCTGGTCCCCAAAGCTGCACCCATTGCAGAGCCCTCCCCCCGGTCACATGATCAAAATTTGGGCACTTGGGCAGTCCTCCCACATTTATAACCAGAACACTATCTCCCCCCATCTCTGCCCTTTCAGTAGCTCTGATACTCCTTGATGGTGGTGGTGGTGGTGCTGGGTCTGAGGTAAAGGCCCAAGGTTTTCTGCCATCACTGCCTCAAGGCCTCTACTTCTGCCCTAGAGCCACACGCATAGAGGCATGCTCTGCAGGCCTTGCCACACCCAGCTGACCTTCCCAGTCTTCCTACTGCTGCTTAACAAGCATGGCCAGACTGGTCCTATGCATGGTAATTGCTGGCTGACCAGGCCTTCTTCTCAAGGCTGTTTACATTTAAGGACACTAAATGTAATGACAACAATAAAAGAAAAGCAGCTGCTAAGCTGGCTGGCGTACACTACTGCTGCTTTTAGCTGCCTATGGAGTATTTGTATTCTCTTTAGAGTCCTCCAGCCTTGCCTAATATAGGAGAAAGGTATTCTGCAGAACTAATCCTTTTGTGAAGCTCCAGCGTCTTCCTGAGTAGAGCTGGATAAATTATGCTGATTAAACAACAAAGGGCAGTATCAGCAAACTGAGGTTCCACTGTATGGAAATTCTCCTGCAATCGCTAATACTCTTCGGTAGGTGCTGTTCCCTGTACTGAACATACACAGGCCACATTCCTTCACAGGCTAGTAATTATAGTCACTGAAGAATTAGCAACTCAGAAAATGGGAAGGTTTATTAGTTTGATGGGCAAAATAATGGCCGCAGTAGATGAGGAGAGCACAGACCCATCCTAGGCCAACTGACGTGTTGGAGAAGCTTATCACTAATGGAGGAAGGGCAATAACCCCTTTCACTGTTGCTTCCCAAGAACCAGCATTATCAAGGCATGTATGTTGCCTCTGATTCAACAGCCATCAACAGCAGTAGCTGGTCACCGTCTGTCCACAAATCCATCTAGTTCCTTTTCAAAACATCCACATACCCATTTCTACAACTGGCAGTGAATTCCTGCTTAATAATATGCCTGTGCGGAAAAGTATTCCCTTTGATCATTTAATGCTTGTCATTACTATAGGTAAACTTGAATTATAATACTGTAAAGAGGGAGAAGCACATTCTATCCATGCCACGCAGGATTTTACATACAGAATACAGAACCTCTAGTATGCCTTCTCTTACTCTATTCCATTCCAAGCTAAAACTCTAAACCAGGAGTCCCCAATCCCTGGTCTGTGGACCGACACCAATCTACAGCATACCAGAAACTGGGCCGTGCAAACAAGCAAAGCCCCATCCACGGGATGCAGGCAGCACATGAAACCACACCACCTCCGATCCATGGAAAAATCTTTCTCCACGGAACCAGTCCCTGGTGCCCAAAAGATTGGGGCCCGCTGCTCTAAACTATAGTATCTTATGAAGGTTTTTTCTGTTTGGTCTTTCTTGCACTTCTTCTAATTCTAAAATACCATTTTTTTGTTTGTAAAGGTGCTGTGACCAGAATTGTACACAATACTCTAATTGTGGTCTACAGGTTTGGGCAAGGACATTAAGCCAGTACAATTCTCTCTGTAATGACACCCAGTGTGCAATTTGCCTTCTTTAAAGCAGCTGCAATTTACAGCAGTTTAAAGCATTTTTGTTGAGCTGTCCTCCAAAATACCCCCCCCTTCTTGGTTAGTGACTGCCAACTCCCACCTCCATAACATATATTCCTTGTATCAATATGTAGCGTTTTACATGCACTTATATTAAATCACCTTTGCCATTTTGGGGGAAAAAAGGAAAATTTCTTTTGGAGCTCTTCACAATCCCTACTGATTTTACCTTCCACCCTGAACGCTTCAAATCATCATCACCACACAGCCACTTTTCAGGCTCCAAACTCCAGATAATTTATACAAGTACATTACCTACACAACCCCACATTGCTCAACTTGCCAGAATTGTCTATTTATTTCTGCACTGTTTCCTATTTTTAATCCAACTGCCAATCCATGAGAACACTGGTTTGCTCAAGAGTCTTTAGTGAGGGATTTGCTAAAAGCACTGAAATACAGAGCAACTTCAAGAGAAGTTGTGTCTACCTACTTGTTTACTCCCCCCCAAAAAAGTGTAGAAGGTTCATAAGATCTATGTTTGCAGAAGCCATGTTAATTGCTTTTCAGCAAGGCTCATCTCATTCATTGCTTCTCTGCAATAATGCTGTAATATTTTCAACTGTTTTGCCTGAGATAAATGTTAAAGTAATTGCCCTCCGATTTCTCTTAACAATTTTTTTTTTAATGGGATCACATTGGCATCTTTCAGTATACTTTTTTTCACAGAATATTTTAGGTACAAAAGAATAGTAAGAATGTTCTAGATAAGTGACTTAACATAAGAAGATGTTTGTGTTTGCAGTGACATGAACACGAACAGAAGAACCCAAAGAACTTGGTAAAGTCATCAAACAAAACTATGTGGACTGTTATCAGCCATTACAGTTACGGCAAATGCCAACTTTATATTTCAGAAGCAGTCTATGGCTGCTTTCATAGTTATCACGTTAACCTGGGATTTGTTTTAATGATGGCTCCCCCAAGAAGCCAAAGACAATCTTGGAGAATAAACCCTGGACTGTTTTGCCAATTCCTGGTTGCTTTCTCCTTCATCTCTTCAACTGACTCCCTACTCTGGGAAGAGCACAAAAACAAATAAGGGTTACTTCTGAGTAGAGATATTGCGAGTCAGTATTCATAAACAAGGCTTTGCAAATCATAGTTTCAAAGCATGTTTTTTTTTTTGCCCTGAAATCACTGTGTTCTTTGGATTAAGTTTCCTTATCAGACTAGGCTTAAAAAAATCAAACATACTATGCATACTATAGCTCAGTATTATGGCCAAACTAAACCTGCTGCTGAACACTGAAAAAATTAACTGCAAAAAAGGAGTGTTTCCTTTATGCCTTGCTCATGTGTCAGATGCTCCTTCAATTTCATCTAAAAGGGCTCTTCCTACATCCTTTTAAATTGTCCTACAGATTAGAAAAATTGCTTGTTTGTACCAGATGCAAAAATATCAACCAGCATTGTAAAAGGTTACAAAAATATTTTTGGTCGTCATTATTTCTTGCCATCGTCACCAATGATGTTTTCCAGAATATTCTGAAGAGAGTCTTCTGCCTAAAGCCTCACAAAAGTGTTCTACATGTAACTTCTCTTCATCTCAGGGTGTGCTCTTCAAAGAAGAAATCAACACCCTAAATTATATTTTTACGATGCTTCTTTTCCTTGTTAGCCAAATGCAAGATGCCTACCGCATTTCAAATTTATAAAACTTCTGTAAAGGTACTTTGGTAAATTAAATTTGACAACTTCTCTCTGAATTCCCAATTTTTAAGCAAGTCTGTTTTACTAGATTTTCTATCCTTTGGGGAAACATCAAAACTAACATTTCAACCAAAATGATTGTAGGATAGATTTGAGATGATAATATGAACAGTCATAAAACAAATTAAGTAAAATATGGATTATTTCATAAAACATGAATGAATAAAAGTATAGTCAAATGATTGATTAACAATGATATTAATGTATTTAATATTTGATTGAAAATATGAGAATATATACAATGTAATTGCAATTGAAGACTACGAAATGGAAGCACAAAGCAATTTGTAAACCAACCGACACACTGTATGTATATATATATATATGGAAGATGGCTTGATGTTTTTATGTTTTGTTTGTCTATGTTTGTCTTAAAAACCAATAATTTTTTTTTTAAAAAACTAGTTTCAACTTTTTATTTAAAATAAAAGCTGGACTTTCAATTCATCTCAACCAGATGACGTGCCCAAAACTATGAGATGTAACTACATTATGACCCAAATCCTTAATTAGTGAATATAATTCTTAATATTGATAACTAATTAATAGAAGAACCCAAGATTTTTTTTATTTATACATACATACATACACACACACACACACACACACACACACACACAAATTTAAGGATAAAATATCAGATAGCAAAGAGAAACTATTTCTGAAAAATTTGAAAAGGCTTGGGATGTTCCCATAGCTGCACTTTGCCTCCCAATATCACCCCCCTCCACCAAGAATTCTAAATTGTAAGGAATAAAGAAGACTACATACAGTATATTATCATACGTATATGATCCAAGATTGCATTCTTAAAGAAATCAATATATAAGATTTCTCTGCAAATCCCTTAAATCATTTGACCAAACTATGTTGATTCTTATCTTCTTATCTACTTATCTTCTTATCTTATCTTCCTATCTACATACCTTCTTCCGTTTCAGGCTGTTGCAAGTTTTCCTCCTCCAGCTGCATAGCTTCGGTCCTACTCTCCATTATAGCAGCTGGCTTCTTTTCAATGTCGAAATCTGGAAGCCGTGGAGCTTGTGGTCTGGTTTTTCTTGCAGGATTCAGGAAAAAACAGTAGGCGCACCGAAAGGCTGCACAAAAGATTATATAGGCATATCCAATGAGCTCACTGAACATCAGAGCTCTTGTTTACACTTGTTATAATTTATTTTTATTCTTTGATGTTACTCTTGAAAACACCAGTTTTGGTTAGTGCACTAGTTAAAGCCCTTCCTGGAGCATCATGCCCCCATCAGTCACCCATGGCCTCATTTACCTTTCCAACTGATGACTGCAATGCACTTTGCTATTTTTGAAGACTACCCAGAAAGTGCAGAATGCAGCACCTACTGGCAATGTCTACTGACAATGAGCATCGCCGATACCACATAGGAATGATTTTGCAAGCACTGCATTAGTTATCATTCAGCTTCCAAGTACAATTCAGAGTGCCGGCTTTAGCATATAAAGTCTTTTTAGCATGAGAACAGGGTATCTGGAGCTCCTCCCATTTCAGGTAAATCAACTGGTCATGTCTTGTTCAACCTGATAACTAATGCTGAAAATGCTTTGCCCAAGTGAGATTAGTAGAAGCAGGGGAAGGACAGAGCTCAGTGCTTTTCTGGGCATGCTCCAACATTACAATTGCACCCAAACATTTAGACAGTCCTGGTCAAATGGTATATTTCCATGAACCCCTAAGAGTAAGTAAACATCTACACTGTACAAAATTAAACACATCTTTCTGTAAGATTGAATACATATTTACAACTTATGTGCTATTATTTACAAGTTCAACATAAGAAAAGAGTGATTGTGGCAGATATGGTAGGAGTAGCACTTTGGACACCTCTCCAGTCAGTACTTTGTAATACCTCGTTGACAGATATCACAGCTTTCAAATGTTTCTTGTAAGAAACATTTATTCTAAATGCTTATTCTTGCTTTTGGAATTTTCTCCGATTCTGCCTTGCAGAAGTTTTCTAGCTCAGAAATATTCTTAGGTCTCCTTGCTTTGAGATATTCGTACAGATTCAAACCTTTGGTACTGTGAAGGTGAGTTCAGTATCTTTAATTTTGGTAAGCAATTCATGGTTGATTTAGAGATATGTTTTAGATTACTATCTCGCTGAATTTTTTTTTCATTTTGAATTTATGATTGTAGGATAGATTTGAGATGATAACAGAGAACAGTCATAAAACAAATTAAGTAAAATATGGATTATTTCGTAAAACATGAATGAATAAAAGTATAGTCAAATTTGTAAACCAACTGATATATTATATTAGTTTCTATGATATGTTGATATTTAGTTCAATTTATACTTCCTTCCATCTGCATAAGTGCTCTGTGCAATATACACACTCCAGAACATAAAAAGAGCCACACTGAGCTCTATTCCATTCCTTCTAATGTTTCATCTTTTGTTTTCAAATGTATCTTGTGTGGTTCAGAAAATTTCTGTTTCATCAGTCTGAAGACCGTTGTTCCCAAATATTTCACACCTCTCAAGGGTTCCTCCTCCATAGTTCAGACAATTATTTCTGTTTCCTGACATCTCTGCCATGCTGATCACTTTTGCATAAGCAACGCTCTGCTGTGGACCTATGGAGTAGTAATTTAGGCATCAGCTACATTTTTCAAGAGGACATCTGCAATGATTTGCAGATTATGTTCTGATCCATTTTCAAGCAATTGTAAGTGAATCTACTTTTTTGATCTTCCCAAATTTGCCTTGACTTCAGCAGTTCCATGTAACTTTATTTTCTTAGCAGTGCTTCTCACAAGTGACATTTCTAGTTAGTTTTGTTTAAATAGCCATGTCCTCAAACTTCTTAAGAATTAATTTTCTTCATTTTCAAATCTTCAGACAACTGCTCAAAAGAACTAATCATTACGCAAAATTAACAATCCAAATTTGGATAGATTAGAAGGGTCAAGTATTCGTTCATTTATGAAAGTTCACCTAGCCAACTGTATGCCTAACAAGTCAATTATCTTTTAATTATGCACCATAATTCATTGACTGAATCCATTGCAAGGATATTGAAACTTTTACAATTAATATATTTACTGTTTTCTTAGTTTGAATATGTAAACAATTGCAAATAGGTAGTACTGTATGCATTCAACTTTACAGAAGTTGTTATGTTTAACCACAGTCAGCTTCTATTCTTATTAGGATTTGATGTAACATACACTTTGTGGAAGGATGCCTCTATTTTTGTATGCAACTGCCTGGAACAGCTGACATTCAGCAATCCTAGTGGCACACTCACTAACATGATTTTTGGGGACAGGTAAAACAGAACATTCCTGCAGAGCTTTGAATCTAGGACACCCAGAAAAAGAAGCTACTGAGCAGTGGGTTTTGCTAAGGGTGAATGTTTTTATAGTTCTGTATGCTATTTCTTAAATAAACTTTTAGAAACAGTTGTGAGCAGTACAGAAATTGAACAAGCAAGCAGATAAATAAATAAAATAAAGGACTTTAGTATCAAAAACCTTTTTCCTAATCTTAGAAAATCAATGATTTCCTATTATCACTTGTTTCATGTCTATTTCCAGTGTTGAAATCCTAAAGCCATAATATGAAAAACCAACAAAATCTCTTTGTAGCTTCCTGTGATGACCCGGGGCATGGCACAAAGGCAACACAGTCAGATAAGCAATAAGAGTCCCTTTATTATCTCCAACTTTGCCACCAATGCCCAGGTTACCTTCTGGCTGGAGAAAAACTCTCCCAGAAGCAGCTTTTGACTGCAGAAAATTAAGTCCAAAACATGAGCAATACAAACTGTAACTTAAAGTCCAAACAAGCCAAACTGAAGTAATTAGTTTGGCAGGGCAGGAGCAGGAATTCCAGACTTGAAGACATGGCAAAACTCACATGGTTGAAAAGATGCCAGGAACACAGATAAGCCACAACACAGCATAAAGTCACGTTTGCTCCCAGCAGCCTGCCGCACACAGCCTGCCTTTCTTATCAACTGTCTTCCCAGCTGTAGCTAATGAAGGGGATCAGGGCCCTTTCCTCCCCCATAAGCCACGCAACCCACGTTGTTCTCTTCTCCATTCCTCCCTGCGTGCCCTAGGATGAAGAGGGGGTGGGCCTGGTTCTTCCTCTGAACTCCCTCTCCCTTGTTCTATCTCTCCCCTGACTCTGCCCAGCTGGACTTTGCCCTTCCCCAGCCTCATCCACAGCCAACAGAGCCACACTCCCACTCCCTGTCAACTGTCCGGCTGCCTCCTCGGATTCAGACTCTGACAGGGGCATGACACTTCCAGCCATGAGATTGGCTGTTGCATATTCTTAAAAAAATCTTTTACTTCTGAAACTCTCTTTACGTGTGGATTTCCCCCCCACATTATATTCCCCTTCTCAACCAAGCACTCTCCAGTTGCACTAGTCTTTAGTTTCTGAATAGTTCATCCACAATAATTCTGGAATTCAGAAAAGTGGAGTTTCCAATACAGTCTGGAAAGGATTATAAGACACTAGACCAGGGGTGTCACACTCAAGGCCCATGGGCTGGATCTGGCCCGCAAGGTACTTAAATCTGGCCCATGGCATGAGCACCCCCCATGCCTCATTTTGGCTGGCAGGGTGCTGCAGGAGGCGTCTATCCCATCTCCCACCCACCCCGCCGACTTACAAAGTACAATGATGATCCGGCCCTTGAAGAAATCCAGTTTGATACCCCTGCACTAGACAATAGTTCACCTATTGGATCTCCTTTCAAAGATATTTCCTTACCTAAGCAGAGAAACAAAGTGATCACAGGTGAGCAAAAAAGCAATGAGAATGGAGAGGGAGCAACTTCCAGCTTTCTGCCGGCTTCCTCATTGACCAGGAACCGAGCTCACCCGGTAACCGTCGATAGTCTCCAAACAGCCCTACTTGCAAGCAGGCATATGAGCAACTCCCTCATCCTTCCCTCGCCACCTACCACCATTTAAAGATTACAAATTTCAGTTTCAATTTCAAAGCAGCCAATCATCACTCACTCTATCAGGCTTTGCTACCAGCCAACTGGGTGTATCAGTAGGAGCTGGAGAAACTTTTGACTTCCTGCTAGCTTTCCCATTGACTTTGCTTGTGGGAAGCTAGCAGTGAACATCAGAAATCACTCTTCTTTGGCTCAACTGAAAAACTGCCTGCCACTTTACTGGGGGGAGGGGAACAAAGGGAGCCAGGGAACCATGAGGAAAACTGCACTCCCACTCCCCACCCCAGTCCCCATCTCAATATGTCCCTAACGTCCCTGCTCTCCATGGAAGAAGAGGGCTCAGCTGTAAATTGCTGGGACTCTCCAGCTAGCCCTACCTCACCACCAGGCATTCGAGTCACCCCATCATCCTTCTCTCACCACCCACTGCTATTAAGAGATTTCAGACTTCCTCCTCAGTTCCAAAACAGCCAATTTGCCTGTCAGATCTTGCCACCATCCAACTGTGTGCAGGGACCAGAGGGAGATAGGAAAGGTGGATAGACATACAGTCCTCCCATTTTACCTTGCACCATGCAGCCCTCATTTTCTAGGACGTGTAGGCAGAAGCTAAGGTGGCACTGAAGCGGCCACAACTTTCCCAAGTGTCTTTTCCATAGGAGTTGTGGGGTTCCAGCATTCTGTAAGTTAGCTCATCTGAGTTATCTTGGTTCAATAATTGTTGCCTGGTACTTTCTAATTTTGCCCAACTGAAGGGATGGATTCCATGAATGAACAGAAGGGCAAAGGAATCTTAAAGCAGCTTTTTATCTCCATTCTGAAGTTGGGGCCACATTTACCTACTATTTTAACCAGTTTGCCTCTGCTAAGCTATTTGTATAGAAAATTGAGCACAGCCGTATGTCTGGAGGCCCCTGCTTTAATAAGCTATCTATCTACTGAAATATTGACTTAGTAAAGATTCCTTTATCAGTATTCTCTGCTAGTCATTGGCTGCAGTCCCAACAGAGAGAAGAAATAGGTAAGCAGTTAGAATTTAACTGATCTCTATCTTTAAATTTAAAAGTTATGTATCTCTTTTCTTTAAAGCTCTGCAAATAGAGGGAAAGAGTTAAAATAGGAGTGATAATAAGCAGATGGAGCCATCTTGATGACAGAGGCATAGTGATGAAGAGGATAATTGCTTGATTAGAGGCCTGGTGCTTTTTGTCCCAAGAAATAGCTGCTACTTCATTCAGAAAACCCTATTCTGTTTCTCGCTTACCTCCCAAATGTATACCGATTACGGTTGCCTGTATTTTGAGTTTCAGGGGGGAAAGATGCAATCTACCTAATAGGGGTTTTCCCCACAGCTTGAAAACTTTAAGACTTAAACAGTAAAAGCTACTTTGTAGGACAAGTGCACCGATCAATCTTTGTATTTTAACTTTGGATTGGGTTTGGTAGAAAGGGAATTATGTGATCTATTAAGATAGTATCATTTTAACTTTGGATTGGGTTTGGTAGAAAGGGAATTATGTGATCTACTGAGATAGTATCAGACAATAAAGACATGACTAAAAGATCATTATATGAAGTTATTTTAAGATGATTTAAATTATTAACTCAATGTTCTACAACAACTGACATCTACTGCTATATTTATATTGCTTACATAAAAGCTCAGTTAACAAAGGATCTGAGATTTTTAATGGTTTGAAATGTTGTCTTCTGAAGAAGAAACTAATCTGTTTTTTCTTCTTGAGAGCAAATTCAGATCTTCAAGACAAAAGATAATGTATTCACATTCTGTAGTTTTATAGGGAGTTTCAATTCAAATCTGAGTGTTTGTCGGAGTATTTATACTAGGCATGTGGGAATCATCTATAACAGATTTCTCTTCAAGTAGTCCGTTCTGCAAAAATTCAAAACATAAATGGAATCTGCAAGTATCCATCTAAAAATATTTCCAAGCTAAAAATTATGCTCAAAAATTACATATTTGGGAAAACCAAAACAGAATGTATGCAATATTTACATGATATGAAAATATCTATTTTAGTGGATAAGAACATTTCAAAATGTATTGCCCAGATGAAAGGTAGATGAGAATGTTTGTGTGTGTTGTGTGTGTATAATATATACAAAATTAATATGAAAATAATATAAAAACATCTTTATGTGAACAATATCTATCTTGTTTCAATTAGATATTTTAAAGAGATTAATAACATACTGGTTATTTTTATTTTAATAAGATGTTGGTTTATTTTATGGAAGATTCAATACCTAGCATCTCTTTGTTGAGATTATATATATATTTATAATAATGATGATGGTATATCATGATGTTACACAATAACACTAGGATTATTTACTAACTTCTGTTTTGTATATTTTTTTAGAGTACAGCACCTTTTGATAGTTGTACATAGCTGTATATAGTTTATATATAATGCTACAATTTATAATCAGAAATATAGTATTATTTGTAATCTTTTTGAAACTTAATAACTTTTAAAAGTGAAAAAGATACATTATTTTTTAGAATACAGATTACAGATATCAACCTGCTTTTAGGAGAAATTATCAATTAAATCATACAAGTAGTAGTATTTGATAAATTCTATCAATCATAATAAATTTCACTTTTAAAAACGTGAGGAAAAACTGAAATTGACATGGATTCAACACTGTTAATTCACACACAAAAAAACTATGCATACGGATTCTGAATATTTATAAAATATTTTCGTTTCCAAGCATTGCTGTTAATATTTCATGAATTAAAGAGGGGTTTTAGATAAAGTTGGGAAAATGCTATATTACACATTTTTACCCCAAACCAAAGAGTTATAGAAAGTAGGCAAATGTCAGCCTATAAAATTTAATATGTCATTTATATGCAGAGTATAACTGATACAAACTAATGAGCCTACATCAATGTAGCTGAAAAAGAAATCTGTTGCAAAAGTCAATATTTTGGATATACATGCACAGAGAAAGAGGATGTATTTAAACAAAATATTCTAGAACCTTGATAGCGCAGGAACATTATAAATGCATTGATTATTGTCTTGAACATGTTTATAAACTAAGAGCAAATGAGAGGGTATATCCACATGAAAGACAAAAGACCTGTATCTACATTACTTGCATGTTGATTTGCGATTGCTGATAAGAAGCAAAACTAACACCTCTGTTCACCAAAGGCTGTGCTTATCTTAAATTATTAGCATAAAATTAAAGTATAACCCTGGACCCTGACCCTGCTTCATTTCTAGTGTTTTCCACCAATTTGGTTGTTTGTTTAAATTCTGGCAAAATAAGGGCCTAAAACTTTAAAACATTTCAGGGAATTATTTATACAGACTATAATAGTCTTTAAAGAGTACAAACAAAAACTACATTTCTACAGCCAGCTTTTATACCTGCACATCCCAGAAAATTGCCTCCTCCTTCCAGGTAGATTTGACTCCTACTCCCCAAACAGAGTGGTAAATATTTATTGCATGGTAAATAATTAATTTTTTTTAAGCTTTGCAAAAAATAACAATTTCAAGAACTTTTAGATCACAGAATGAAGTTTTTAATCTAAGTGCTCCTTGGTTAGAAGTGAAACAGTGGACTAAATAGATTTGTTCTTACCAATATATTCAAACTCTTCCTTCAAAGCCATCCCATTATGTGAGAAACACTGCTGGCATATCAAGGCATATCTAAAGAAAGGATCAGAGACAAAATTATCAGTTTAAAGATTCAAGTAGTCTCACATCAGACAGCATTAAAATTCAGAAATATGCTTATCCCGTGTCCTCTAACCTGCACCTGATCTCTGGACTCCACTTCACAATGTCCACATATTTAGTATAATATCTGAAGGAACCTCAAGTGCCCATTCCCTCCTCATCATTACCTGCCTTTAATTCATGTGTGCAGATTACAAAATAGGGTGCTATATAGATATTCTGATGTTTTTATAAATATACAATAATTGCAAATTCCAGACAGCATCTAAATATTTTTAGTCTATGATCTGCAATTTGATTTTTAAGTATCATTATTTTGAACTCTCACACTCATGCTGCAATGCTAATTTTTGAAAAGGCTTATATTAAGCAATAGTTGACATATGACATATCTCATCAGTTATATATTATTACAATTTGTGGCTATTCTTCTCAGATTAAAAAAATTGGAGTGAAACTGTTTACATATTATTATTAGAAAGATACACAATGGTGGCAATCAAATTAAAGTTAATTGAACTCAGTACCATTGAATTCTGACTAGGTATACAGATAGATGTCACTTGACTACAACTAGAATTGGAACTTCCATCACTAAACGGTGCAGTCATAAAGCACAATGTTATGTAACTGCACTGCTTTGCGATGTTAATTCCAGTTGCCATCATTATGCAAATCACTGAGCCATTAAGCGAGAACATCACGTGGTTGCCATGTGAGACCTCCTTACAGTTTCACCATTGACTTTGCTTGTCAGAAACCCCCCAGAAAGGTTGCAAATGATAATCATAGGCCCATGAAATGCTATGACATTATACTTACAAGCCAGGTGCCTGGATTACAAATACATGGCGGTGGAAACAATGGAACTGACCTAGGTACCAGGACCAGCTGTACTGCCACTCATTCAGTACCATTGTAAGTTCAAACGATTGCTAAACCACTGTTTATGAAGCGAGAACCACCTGTACAGTATCTAGATTGACACTGTAAGGAGCCTGATTCCACATGACTTTCTCTACTTTCCCTAATTTATGCAAGAGATAAGAAAACCAAAGAGAAAAACCACAGCAAGAATATCTGTTATTTGGCAGAATGCAGTCTATCCCAGCACCAATTTAGATGTTCTCTGTAAATCTGGGTCTCAATCCCCAGAATTCTCAATAATGGGCATGGTGGTGAGGGAAGTCAAGGAACTGAAGAATTGAAGACTGAAGAATTGAAGATGTCTCAGGGACATCTCAGATGGAGTAGGCAGATATAGATTTCTGATGTTATCTAAAAAGTAAGATAAGAAACTGCTACTATATCATGCGATGGGTATAAAATTCATTTATTGTAACGAGCAACATTTTACCTGTTCTGTGGACCATCTCCAACTAAATATTCAACAATTCTATCTAATGCCCCCCTCTCTCGAGGAAGAATAGGTCTTGCCAACGGGGGTCCTGGAGGATGAAGGCCTGGAAGACAAAAATAGCTTTCAATCTAACTTCACTAGAAAAAAAAATGTTTCAGTCTATATGAGACACACACGATAGGAAAATGGCTCAAACATATGCTAGGAATTACATTGTATCCCGCTATACTGGTCTTTCCAAGAAGAATTGATAATGTTCCAATTTAAGATCTTAAAGAGCAGCTGACAATCCGTGCCAACAATATTGGGCTAGATGGACCTATGGTCACTTCCTTGTTGTTAATTATGGGAAACAGCCCCTGGAATAGGAAGAAGCTGCAAAGAAAGGAGTCAGCTTTAGCTGTGTGAGCAAAACAGAATTCAGAGTAAAAAACAACAACACCTCAGTCCAGGCACTGGATTACACATGAGAACTGCAGCCTCCTTTGACCATACCTCAGATGAATGCTTTCACTTTGGCACCCATTCCTGTCTAAACAGTACATTAGAATCACTGCCAGGTAACAATTGCTCCCCAGTATTATCACAGGATGTAGTCCAGCAATCATTTACAAGATCTCCATAAGGCTGCAAAGAAGAGCACTGTCCTCTTCTATCCAGAAGGATGCTGTTTGAATACTCCATTCCTTCCTATTCCAAGGCAAATCTTAAATGACAAACTAATCTTCTTCTCCTAAGTATTATGTGGTCGGGCTTAGTTTTTGGGGAGGAAAATAAGGGAGAAAAATTCTGCCTCTGCCTAGCAGCATCCATCAGTATTCATCTGCTAGCATCCTGTCAGTGTGTGAGAGAGTTGAGGGCTGTTTGGAAACTGAAATTATTTGCTGTGTGAGCAAGAAGGAGATAGCAAGGAGCCTGTGCGTGGCATAGCTCAACTGTTCTGTACTAAAGCTGCTTGGTGCTGTGAAACTAAAACTGTAACTAAAACTGCTCTCCTCTGCTTGTGTTTTGCATTTGGAACAGATTTCTTTTCAGGTGGGGGGAGTAGAACTCCTTAGCATCAGAGCGTGTTAATAATAATATACGAAATACTAATGCTTTAATGGTCATTTCGAAAAATCCTTTCTTAGAGAGCACCTAGAAGTCAAGAGGAATATACGTGCCAAATTTCAAGTTTGTAAGCTTTACAGTTCTGGAGATTTTGTGATGATGCGTCAATGGTATTTCGCTTTTATATATAGATAGATAGATTTTTATTTTAACTGCCCATATTAGACTAGTAGCTTTTATATATTCTTATTTCCCTCCCTAAAGTATTTATTATTGTGTTCTACTGTTTTAGTGATTTTAATATTCAGCTCATCTTCTTGTCAGCCTGAAAAACTTGCTTTATTGAGTCAAATAAAACATAATTATTTTTAATATTAACAAACAACTTCAGCATATTTATAAAACCCAGCTTTCAAATTCCATCTCAGTGTCACACTCCAATGCAGTAATGATTTTAATCTTGGGGATTTTTAAAATCAGAAAGCCTGATGAGTGTTTCATTAATGAATACCTTAATATTTTAAAAAACACTTTTCTTTAAAAAAAAAAAAAGCAAGAATGTATTTAAATATATTAGATCAGATCAAGATCTGCCTACTCTAGTACTTTCAAAAAAAAGAATTGAAACCACAATTAAGCATGAAAAATGTGTAATATGTTAATTCAGAAAAGAAGAGACTTAATTTCCAATTGTTACTATTATGCTCCACAGAATGGCTCAGCTGTTGCGGATTGGTAAAACATGCTGCGCTCTGATAATCAAATTGTAATGTCATCAAGAGATCTTATTTAGAGGTGAAGGATGGTTATTATCCATGCCTTGTAGGAGGAGGTGCTGTTCTCTAAAGGACTGTTGTTTTGGGTACAATCTGCCTTACTACTTGTCCCAAAGGACTTACCAGCTCTAGCCTAACACATACAACATAGACATTTTTAAATAGAAGCCTAATAGGTTTCAAGCCAAGATGGTGCACAAGCCTGTGGCAATTATGAGATAGCTGACTGGTCCCCAATGCAGTTATCTTTTAGTTTCTTATGTCCTATTATTTTTACAATTTTCCTTTGTAGCTGATGTTTTTTAACCTTAGTTGGCCCATAGTCATTTGACTAGTGGGTGGCTACAATATAAACTGGATGGATGGATGGACAGATGGATGGACCAGAGCCTGACCAACCAACCAGATAATATATTTATTCGAAAATCAAACTATTTAGGGTAACTGTATATGAATGGATTCTGAGTGAAAAATACATGGAAATTTTTTGTGCATAAACTTCTTGAGAAGAAACAGGTTTTGAATCAAATATCATGAAAATGTTTAAAAATTTACGTTTAAATTACATGGTTAATTCTTCTTATCAGACAAGCAATGCAACACTGGTAGACTTTCTTCCATCAGGTTCCTCGTGATGTTTTCCATTCAAATCTATGAAGGCACATTCCTTTTCAAGTTGGTCTAGCAACAGTGTCAATTCTTGGACAGTGTTGACTTTAACAGTGTCAACTGTTGGACTACAATATGTTTTAGAATTACTTTTTGAGAACTGTTGAAGTGTAATATAACATATTTGGAGAACCTTAAATGAGGAAGTAGCTTAAAGTATTTGCTTCCTGAAGACAAGAATTCTTAAGGCCAAAACTCTGCCAGCCTTTATTATCACACATAGAAAAAAAACAAATTTAGGGCTATAAACTGCAAATGATAATTTCTATTATAATTATTAGACAAACTGAAGAAGACTCTATTTTATTTTACACAGATTAATAAGAGTCCAACAATGTCCAATTGCCAACAAAAGGGCATATTTTCCCAAATAAATAGTTTTAGGAGCAGGGAATGAAAACAAAACAAAACAAACAAAAAACAAATTAGCACTCAAGATTAGTATTATGCACATTTTGGATGCAGTCTCAACTGGAACTGCCTATTGCAAAGTAAAGCCTAACTATAATTAGGAAGCCTAAAACAAGAGCTCACATGCCCCAAGAATCTCTGTGGTTACTTGGCACAGTAACAAGCCATCTAAGCACACTTCTTATTCTTCATGCTGATATGGACAACGGTAATTAATATGAACATCAAAAGCAATAATTGTAGGCAGGCTGGCTATTTCTACAAAGCTTGGCAAACTCTCAACTACCTGCTGGTTATTAATTTTTAGACATATGGAAGCTCTGTAATAATACATGTTAAATTGATTCTCTTCCACAAAGTATAATGTAATGAAAAAATGAATGATCTTTTCTATTTAAAGCTAATTAAATGCAGTCATATGGACTTTGTTATTTCTCATAAGATAGGAAATTGTAACTCAAGAAACTTGCTTATTTTTATACTGCTACGGTTGCATTATAAATTAAATATTACATACAGGGTTAATGATCAATGAAATACCTGTATCAATACAATCACCAGGACTGTCATCATGTATGCTACAAAACTGAGTTAACTGAGGGAGTTCATTTCCTAATTGCCATAAGATATAGTTAAAATTGATCACATTTAACAATTATCATTAACAATGATTACCATTAATGGATATGGGTCATTTTTAAAAAATGGAAGAGTGCATTAATTTTTCTTCCTCCATTGTTTTAAGTCTTATTACATCTGTCTGCCAGAGGCACCTGAAGCTACCCATACAAATTGGTATTCAGAAATTTAGTAGGACATAGTCCCACCCCACTGGAGTAAAGTCAAAAAAGATTCCACACAGCAACATTATCAAGAATTCCTTCCCATTTAAGGTTTTTTCTTGCCCGCCTCAAATGTGCCTTTGGCATTTACCACCACCACCTCAAATCCATGAAAGATAAGCTGCACCCATTAGAACTGCCAACATGTACAGAATCCTGTAAAGCAGGGGTCCCCAACCGCCGGTCCGCGGACCGGTATCGGGCCGCGGAACAAGCCTTACCGGGCCGCTGGTTGCTGGGCGCCGCCATCTTTTTTTGGTAAAAAAGCGCTTCTGGTGAGCTTTTCCGGGTAGAAAGCTCACCGGAAGCGCTTTTTCGTCATAAAAAGATGGCGGCGCCCAGTTGACGCCGGTACCGGGCCGCGGCGCCCAGCTGATGCCGGAACCGGGCCACGGCGTCGAAAAGGTTGGGGATCCCTGCTGTAAAGAACCAGTTGCTGGATGCCTCCAAAGTGAAGCATAGGTTAGCCTCTGTCTGTCACAGACAAACATTAGATCCATCCCAGGATCAGTACGTCAAAGCAGAGAAATAGGGAAATCTTCTATCACTTGCTTATGGCAGAGCTTGATTTTTCAATTTCAAATCAAAAAATGATTTTATAGTATGGCAGCATTTGTATTGCCCCCCACACACACACACACAAACACACTAATAGCAAAATTAGTACTTGAATGCTGGTGAGGGGGGGAATCACTGGGAAATAAGAAGCAAGACTGCCAATGTGCTGAAAGACACTGTGTGGCTTGGGAAAGAAAGTTCAAAATAATCTTTTTAAAACATACAATTCAGAAGATAGTTTTATGAACATCCAGAAGCTTTAGCAATGTCAATAAGTGTGCCAATGAATCTTTCTCTAGGCAACCTCCCAATTTCCATTTGAATTTTTAGTTTGTGATGGGTCCTGTCACTACAAATGGTCATTTTGCAAATGGGCTTTCAGGGCAATTGCAACACACTTTCAAAATTTCAATGTACTGAAGGCCAAAAAGAGGTGAAGAAACCAGGTCACAAACTATTCACTGAAAAACAGGGCTCTGCAAAAGGTATGACCTGTTCAACAATAGAATCTGGCTTGCTGATTGGAATTCCAAAACAAAATAATACTCTGCTATATTTTGCTTGTATTAACAGCCACCATTGTCATGTGACAGCGGTTACATATGTAGCTGTGGCTGTCTTCAAAGAATTCACAATCTACATTTAGGATTGATAATGTTATGGCATTACCTATTTATATTATTATATTAAATTATTGTTGTATTATTAATAAGCACTTTCTCTAAATGTACGTTCAGCTTTTATTAATACAATTTGGTTAGAAAAGTTAAAATAATTTTACATTGCTATGAAGTATGTGCCAACCTGTAAGTGACCTGTGAGATTATTGGGGTTGTGAGAGCTGAACCACCACCAAATACAAAGAATATTTTTAAAAGAAATAAAAATCCCCGTTCCAAATCAGCAACAGCCCAAAACAGTGCAGAGTAAGCAAATAGTTTCCTCATACATGGCTTCATAATCATTCACTCATCCTGCAAGAGTTCTGCACAGACTCAACTCCTTCCATTTCCCATTACTGCACCAATGCATTCCTGTGGATACACAGACTTGCATCTGCTTATTGGCTCCAATACAATGATTCCTATTTATAGTAAAATCAAACAAAGAATTAACGCAATCTAAATACTTCTATAGTGTGAGTTCTTGATGGCAAGAACTTGGTATTCAGATCTTCTCATTTCTCAAGGAGAAATTTTCTTGGATGAAGTGCTTTCAGTTTATTTCTTCCACAGCAGTATCACATCCTGGCATTCTATATAAAGAACCAAGAACTCCTGTTTAACTTAACTTCTTTGAATATAGTCAGCTACCACTTAGCTTGACAACATAAACATGCCTAGATGTGGAGCTGAGTTTGTGCAATGTTGGGGAAGACAGGCTTAGACAATGTCACCTATTGTATAGTAAAGTCTCCAGGATAATCAAGTGGAAAATCAAGCATGCTATACACTGGAGACAGCTACGTTATATAAACACAGCTTGAAATTAAACATAGGACTCAAAGTAGGTCATAATTTAAAGCAAGACAGGCAAAAAAAATACAAGGTACAGAGTATATTGAGAGCCAGCCGTCCATCTTTGAAAATAACCTCATTCTTTAATAGTTGGATTTTGCTCAGAAGCAGGAAAAGATGGACAAAGGCACCCTGAGAATTAACCAGCATTAAATGCAGGAAGCATTTATGAATCAGATGACAAGCAGCCCAACTCCATGGAATGCCTGAATTATGGGCAACTGCAAACTTCCTTGCTTTCTGAACACAAGTAAAATTGGTGCTACATTTTTGGTATTTAGTTTGGGTAATCATCATGAATTAATTTAAAAATACTGTAATGTTTCTGATTTTTTAATTTTATTGTACTCTAAATTGTTTTTTGCTATCTACTTTCACAGTTTTGAGATAGCCTATAAATGCTGTTGAATAAATGAGAAGTACTCATTGCAAAGTGTTATATGCACATCTGAAAAATGATGCATCTACAAAACAGAAAATTCAAGTTCAGTTAAAACAAATTGAGAGGTTAAATGTTTCAAATAAGATGCTAAGTGATGTTAACTCCTGGTTATCAGCTTGTTATTTTAGAAAGTTCTGCTAACAGGAAAAATCCTGTTCAGTTCCTGAGTATTTTATGCTTTAATCTTTACAGCACTGTATTTTCTGCTTAGAAGAAAAATTTAAATAAATGTCAAAACACGCATTAAAAATATGTCCAGAGCTTTGTATGAAACTGAATGTATTCTGAAAGTGTTTTCTTATGTACCTGATTTATATAAGCCTGGAGCTTGCCTAAAGCAAGAACATAAAAAGGTATGCTATATTGTTGACTACAGAATCCTGCAACTGTTTTATTGCCATTTAAACAAAGAAGCCATAACAGTTAAATGAGCTCAGGCAATAGGCTTCGCTATCATAAGGTGCCAGCTGTAAAGAGTTATGGCTAATTGAATATGGAACTCCTGCTTAATCAGATAACTGCTCTACTATTTCCCAACAAAATGCTATTTCCATACTGTCTGAAAATGGCCTGTTTTATTGGTAACTAGAGGAAACAATATAAACTGTAAACAACATTAAGTGCTCTGTTTACCCATTCCAGGCATTGAGGAAGTACGGGACCCAGGATGTCGCGGTAACATATTTGGCGGTGAGGCTGATGACAGAGTTCTCTCCGGAGGTCCCCCGGGTGCTGATATGTCTCTTGGCAAGCCAGAAGGTAGTGGTGGCACTGGACCCATAGCTTTTGGAGATCCCTGTTTTGATGTAACTGGGCCAGGTGGAGGCATGTTTTCTCGCACTGGGGTCCGATGGCGAAGTTCTGACAGAACATTCACATACTTAATTTAGAGAACAGCATTCCAAGTGATTCAAAAATGGGCAACATATTTGTATTAGCCAAAGCAGGAGAAAGAAAGGTGAGCTCCAAAAGTAGCAGAAGAGTGCACTAAAGTTAGCAGATCAATCTATTCTTGCACTTAATCCTACCACTGTACAAGCGGGTCTCACCTGAACAACGATGAAGCAACGATGTATCTCTTGGTGTTTTTGAATAAGTGTACAGATGACATATCTACATTTAAATGCAAATCTCTTATATTCAAGTATAAATCAAATGATATTTGGGGCACTAAATAATTATTCAAACATTATCACACACACCCCATTCCACCAAACACAATTAAATTCTCCTGTGGTTATCAGACCTGATTAGTGCAGAAATAAACAAGTTGCTCCAGGAAATACATGGAACAGTGAGATGCTATGGTTAGATTTCTGTTGGGGAGGGCTGAACAGCAACTTCAAGGCCATGCAAAATAAAAATAAAAAAAATCAGATACCTAGTTAGCAATAAGTTGTGCGTTATCATAATGCCTCGTTTAAAGGGAAGGGAAGGCTTGTTAAATCATCCTTAATACATAAAACTGCCTTTGGCTCTGCAGGAATTTGCCATAGATAATGAGTTCCAAAATAAGTGTTGAAGTGCTGTCACCATGTTGCTCTGCTCTGACCTTGTCATTTTGTTGGTGTGATTGAGGATCAGATAGGAGTCAGCCAATTGAATCAAAACCAGACCAAAGTGATAGTCCAGCAGGCTCCAATTTGAATACAGTATGCACATTTGTTACTGATAAAGTATTAAGCCATACAGAATTACAACCATGGGAATATGCAAGTTGAGTTACAATTGCCCTTCCAGCAAAGCTGCAACGAGTAGCTTTGAATTCAGTATCATTATTCATGGCAGGGACCATCTCTGAATAAAATGTTCCTAGTGTAGATAAGAACAGCATTAGCACCCAAAGGTCCAGGAATTTATGTGATTTCTGTACTATTTGAGACACAATTCAGATTCTGCCTTGAACTATTCTACTTCAGGCCAACTTATTTTCAAAATTCTGCATCCTATTTAGAGCTCTTTAAGAAAATTATCCATGTACAGTATATGTTAAAATGACTAGAGGAAAAGGCATGATAAAAAAATATTTTCTCTATGGCTTCAAAATACAACTTCAGCTTTGTCTATTTCTTTGCCGGATGTATACGTATATTTTTTAAATATTGTTTCGCTGCTGAAAAGACAGAAGGGGTCTTTGTATTTATGTATAACAATTTATCTTCTGAATTTTGTCAAGTCTATAGACTTGTGGGAGGAAAGAACAGCTAATAGAATAAGGTTTTAAGTCATTTTATTTGCAGCCAAAGAGTTTGCTGTTCCTGGAGTCTTCCCCTCTAGGATCAAGCCAGGCAGAAAAACCTACATACATTCTTGGATATTTGTGTCCACCAACTTCATGGGTTCACCATGCCTATTGGAGAGAGGGCGGAATCTTCTGCTTCTTTTAGCCATGGCTCCCTTCACTCATCCACAAAGAACCATTCCTACTCTAATTCTTGCTTAGGAACAGATCCTATTCATGACGGAGCAATGTTTCGAATTATTAAAAACCTCTTGGAATAAACATTACATTGTATAAATACAATTTTCCTTATGAGAAGCAGCAGTTTTGTAGAGCTATTACCTTGGCCAGGTCTTGGAACTGCAGATGCTCCAGCAGATGGCAGCTCCACATCCTGTCAATTATAATAATATTATAAAGTGTTTTTCTCTATGGTGCATTATCTAGAAAATTAGTACAGAGATCAGACCCTACCTTTGCCTTCTTGGCTTCTGGATCAAATCGTTCAAGGATTAATTTAGCAGCCTTATATGTTTCTTTTTCCATCACTTCTTCAAGCTAAAAATAAAAATCAGTTCTATTAGTCAAGACAGGCCTCTTTAGATTTTACATGTCATCATGTTTCTTTTAGTGCACACATTAAGAGTACAACAAAATAACATTTGTTAGCGGAATAAACTGTCCTACTTCTCCCTCCTCCAAAATCTCATCCATAAAACGTGGGGAATCCCCCAGAATAGGTGAGAGAGAGCATTAAGATGAACGCAGGGGAGAGGAGAGCAGTAAGAAGTCCATCAGTTCCAGTCACAGATTTGAACCAGAGAAATCCTGGAATACATGAAATTACAGACATGCAGATATGCACATGTCTGCACTCAGCTGAAACAAAATCTAGCTTCACAAAGAATTTCTAACCTCTAGTTCTAGTCAACAGCTTTATTGCAAGGAAACACCAAATATTGCTAATTGTTTACATATAATGAGGAGAATAATTACATGCACCAACTTCAATAATAGAATGTGCAAAAATCTATCAGCTATCATTATTGGAAGTTATTAGACATGACAAGCAAATGACAGGCAATCCCTCAGATTTATTTCCTCATAGCACTTAATGCTATTAATTTAAAGGAGGTCGTTAGTCAAGTGCGTTACAGAATAAAGTCTCCCTGCCAATTAACTGCTGTCAGCATTGATTTTAGATTATTTATTAGCAGAAGCAATTAGCTTGCTGCAAAGGCCATGAAAACTCACTAACTGGGAGAACAGCCATGGAATTTGCTCAAATGACTTTAAAGGCTAAAGCTTCAGTCTTTACGGCTGGATTCAAACTGCCTTTCAGGAAAAAAATAGAACATGTTAAAAATTTAAATAAAAAATTTACCGAGTACTATGCATACTTTAGGGAATGTAATTAAAGCACTTCATTATTACAGCATTTTATTTACAATGCACTCAAGCAGCTTTATGGCTAATACATGGGCTTAATTAAAAAAGTAATCACTAGTAAAATATCATTTTAGCAGTTATAAGCCAGCATCAGAAGTTTAACTATGAATATTTGTGTTCTAAAATTATGACAGATGACTAATATACACAAGGAATGTGAAGCATTTTACAGTGTGTTTTGATGGCTCCCCTCTCTTAGGTTCTTCTTACTGTTAAAATTTACTTCCCCTTTATACATCCAGGAGTTTTTCCTCTCCCACTCAAAGCTATTATTTCATGCTCAATGCTGCACCAAAATTACTCTATGTAAACACTGATCTAACTATTTTTTATGGTGTGTGGAAGGGTGACTGGAAGGCTGCAGATTGAAAAAGATGATACTGTACTGGATACCCTTTGGCAAGTCTCCTATCAAAACAACCACTGTCCAGATGCTTTGGCCTAGGATTCCTGAACAGTATGATTTAAAGCAATATTAGCAATTTTAATATTTCTGGAAGATGCTAGACTGAGAAAGGTTGTCCTATATTACCTTATTATACTATTTAAATGTAAACAATATGTATGGAGGAATCAAGGATTTATTTAGCAAATAATATATGCTTCTAACTTTGAAAGAAGTAAGGAAAAAATTATCTACATTATTAACCAATTTACAGAAGAAGGCTGTAGATGCCAGAATTCTCCAAATGATAATTTAAAACCAAAAGTTTGGTTTAAATCCTTCCAGTATCTAAGATTCTGCAACAAGGCAAATCACTACATCTAGGAAACATAACTAATCTGATTATTTTTTTACTACAGTAGTTCTTGCTTCAACACATGATAGCGAGTGAATTCTGACATGATTAGAAATTTTTTTAAGAAATGCAAATTATTAGCACGCAATATTTCATCTTAAGCTTGTAAATTTCAAAAAAATGGGGAGTTTTGAGCATTATAAAATATTTGCAGCATACCTGACAGCCCGATTTGCACTCAAAATTAGGGCATTTCATGAAATATTGTGCTCAAAACATAAGTGAAAGTTTATAAAATCTCTGTTTGCTAGGACCACAAATTTGTTATATAATAAAGAAAGCTTCAGAGTAAGAATTCCAGATTTTTAGGTCTTGAAAATATTATAAATTAACATACCTGGTTACCTAAACACCAAGAAGCCAAATCAGCTAACATGGCTCCCAAATGTAACTGTGAATAATGGGTATTACTGTACAAACCATCTGGCGTTTGGGAAGGTTATTTTGGAATAACGTCAGTGTAATGGATACGGATGAGTTGCAGTTAAGTTTTAGATGAAGATTCTACTTCTTTCTCATACTTCAGCTGTTTTATCTTTTTCCCCGTTTAAACCATTCCCCAAGCATCCCTTTTTCAGTTATTACTACTAAATGTACTTCTATACAGTTTCTGAATTTTCCAAATCTCAAAGTGATTCTCAATGAATAATTAAAATACAGAAAGCAAACTGTTGGCTGGAACTTCATAAAAATAATATTAATTTTAAAAATTACAAAGACAAATATAAACAAAAACCATTCAAGTAGTATTCACTGCTTAAAGGTCTGGTGAAGAATTAGATATAACTATATTTCTCATCCCACTAAGCAGCTCAAAATTAGAACAGACTCTTAAATTATAATCAAGTAACAGGTTGGATCTTGAATCTTTTTTTTTTTTTGTAAATTTTATTTGAGTTTTCACAAAAAAACCAAAATACAAATAAAACATCTTTTTTGAAAGTAGCGTAATCCCGCATTTCTTCGTACAGACACAAATTCAATTTCATGCTCATTTTTATGTTCTATTCCATATCTTATTACTGTTTTACATTTTCTGCATAGCTTCTCCCCTCTTTTAATTTTCTCAATTTTATTTTAATTATCTCGTCTCAATTCAAATCATTATATTTATATTTTTTGTCTGTCCTGTTTCAATTTCATATTATCTTTTCTCATTAAACAAAGTTTCTCCTGTAGTTACTGATTGGAGTATGACGCCTCTATATCTTTTAAGTTTATCCATTTAACTCTTATTTAGGCTTCAATATATACCCTAAAGTTATAACATTCAATATAATACATAACTTCCATTCGGATTCTGCTTGGTACATTCTTAAAATACACACTATATTCTTAAAAAAAGAAAAAAATATAAATATATGTAATTAAAACAACACATTCCATTCCAATTCAATTCTATCATTAATATTAATATTAATTAAAATCTTAACTTCTTTAACATTACTTTTCAATTAAATATCATACTTCTATGGGAATAATTATAAGCTTTCCATAATTAATTCCCCCCCCTCTTCACTTATATTTTATAAAACATTAACTAATTAAAATGTTCCCGTCCCTTCCTAATTCAATTTTCTCATTTATTTTATTTCACTTATTTTATTAACAAACATTTCACTAAATTACACTAACTATTTTATCCCTCATTTTAATCATACATTGTTTCCAATTTTCTAAAGTTATTTCTATTACTACCGTGTTTCTCACAAAATAAGGCCGGGCCTTATTTTTCTTGACCCCCGAAAAAACAGCTAGGCCGTCTTTTCATGGGTGACTTAATTCCCCCCCCTTGCATCCTCGGGTGGGCGGGCAGCAACAGCTTGGATGTTGACCTCGGCGTTGGTGGGGCACTTCATATCAGGAGACCTTCCGCCACCGTTGCTTTTCCTTCTCCCTTGCTGCCGCGGCGTTTAGAGCAACGCCGCGGCGTTTGGCGCAGCCACGTGCGGCCAGCCAGGGCTCCTCCCTGCAACCGGAGCCTGGCGGAGACACTCGGCTTCAGGCACTCCTGTCACCGCCTTCCCTTTACCTTCGAAGGTAAAGCCAATTATTTTAAAAACGACGCCCTACTACAACAAAGCCTCCCCTGCCTGAGAAGGCAGCCCAACCCCACGTGGGTAGGCGAATCTCCCGGGGCCACAGCGCAGGATCGACCCACCTCGGGAGAAGCGCCCAGCCGCCATCCCTGCCTGGTGCCGGGCAGAGCGCGAAGAGCTTCACCTGGGGCGCCCAGCGCAGCTGACAGGCGGGCCCTCCTTTCCGGCAGCAGAGCTCTCACCAAGGCAGCGAGCGCCTCCCTGCCGGACCCTCCGCTCATCCCACCAGGGCCACGCCAGAGCCGTGCGGGCTGGGCAGAGCCAGGAAAGCGAGCCGCGGGTGCACGCCCGCCTGCCAAGCAAAAGAGCCGGGCCAACCTGAGCTTGGCTTCCTTCCCAAGTCCCTCCAGCGCGAACCCAAAGGGGCCACCGGGAGAGGCTGCCCGAGGAAGTGATAGTGCCCACCCGTCCGCGGATAGGGAGGCGAGGTGATGGCAGCGCTGCTTCCCTGGCCGGCGGAGAGAGCCCGAAGCCGCCCGTCCTTTCCACCCCTCGCCCAGCCCATCTCTGTCCCCACGCATCTCCAAATGCGCCGGCAGCTCAAAACGCTGCAGCGGAACGGGCATCAGACAGAGGCGCTGAATCAGCGGGGCTCAGCTCGGAGGAGGACGCAGCGCGGGCTGTCGCCTTGTCTCCCTGTCCACAGATGGGTAGGCGCTATCACTGCCTCAGGCAGCCTCTCCTGGTGTCCCCTTCGGGTTCGGGGCAGGAGGGCCCGCCTGTCAGCTGCGCTGGGCGCCCTAGGAGAAGCTCTTCGCACTCTGCCCGGCGCCAGGCAGGGATGGCGGCTGGGTGCTTCTTCCGGGGTGGCCCAATCCTTCGCTGCGGCCCCGGGAGATTCGCCTCCCCACGTGGGGTTGGGCTGCCCTCTCAGGCAGGGGAGACTTTGTTGTAGTAGGGTGTCATTTTTAAAAGAATTGGCTTTACCTTCGAAGGCAAAGGTAAGGCGGTGACAAGAGCGCCTGAAGCCAAGTGTCTCCGCAGGGCTCCGGTTGCAGGGAGGAGCCCTGGCTGGCTGCGCATGGCTCCGCCAAATGCCACGGCGTTGCTCTAAACGCTGCAGCAGCACGGGGAGAAGGTAAAGCAATGGTGGCGGAAGGTCTCCCGACACAAAGTGCCCCACCAACACAGGCAGCACCATATCCGGGTATGCAACAAAAGTACTTCCTAACGGCAAGCCCCCCCCCCCGCCATTCCCCCCCCATTTCGC